TTTTTGGTTTTTCTCCAGTACCAGGAACCGAACTCACGACCTTGCGCTTGCCAGGCAGGCGCTTTTGCCACTGAGCTAAATCCCCAGCCCCTATTTCTCCATTGAATTTGATGGAGAGTTTGGCAGGGTACATCATCTTGATTGGAAGGTTTTTTGTCTCTGGGCCTGTAGTACTTCACTCCAAGCTCTTCTCCCTTATATGATTTGTGTGGAGAAGTCTGCCATGATTCTGATAGGGTTTCCTTTATTGGTAATCTGTTTCTTTTCCCTAGAAACTTTTAATATTCTGTTCTTTTGCTGGAGATCAGGGATCTTGACTAGTATATGTCTGGATGCAGTTTTATTTTAGTTGTGGTTAGTTGGAGTTCTATATGCCTCATTTACTGTATATCAGGTTCTGTTTCCATACTTGGGAAATTTTCTGCTATTTTTTCTGCAAATATTCTTTTTATGTTGTTTGTGCTGCCCTCTGCTCTTTCATTGACTCCTATTAGTCGTACATTATTTCTCTTTGCCTTGTCTTGCAGCTGTTGAATTGATTTTTCCTGGTTCCTTGTTGATTTTGGGAGATCCTTTCTTTCACGATTGCTAACTGCCATGCTGTCCTGAAATTCTATCTTCAGCTCATTCAAGCTGTTTTGGCAGCTTTCAATGGAAGCTTTTTTTTTTTTTTTTTTAACTGAGAATCAAACTTCTGACATTGCACTTGCCAGGCAGGCGCTGTGCTGCTGAGCTAAATCCCCAGCCCCTGAGTGGAAGCTTTGATTTCCTGGAGGTCTCTTTGAATCTGGTTCATGCATTCTAATCATTTCTATATTTTTTCATTTAACATTTCTGTCCATTGCCTATGTTCTTCTATTTTCTTATATGTTTCTTCTTTAGATGTGCTGAGCAGTTCTTTCATAATTATTGTCATTTTATTTTTTGCCTGAGAGATTTTTTCTGATCTGATCTCTTCTGTGGCCTAATGGAGTTGTTTCTTTACTTTCATTGCAATCATCTGAGCAATTTCAGGTGTGTGTTTACCAAGTTCTCCTATGTCGATATCTCTTGGACTTGTTCTGAGTGGGGTAGAGTTCTGAGATTGTGTTTGATACCAAATGCATAAAGCTCAGTCTCCCTCTTCCCTGGTTTCTCAGCAAAGGCCGCTATTGTCCCTAGTTTTCCTGATGGTCATGCTTGCTTCTCAGTGTCTACTGAGATGCACTGCTTAGTCTGGGGTTTTCTGGCAGATGGTGAAGTGTATCTATTTCTCCCAGGTCTCACACGCAGACTGTGATATCAGCTGATGGCAGTCCATCTGATCCAGCATCCCCTCACAGTTCAGGACACAGGTAAACCCAGACATGAACTGCAGGGTCAACAGTTTGTGGACCACCTGATTCTGTCTCCAGGTACCTCAGGACATGCACAGGAGTTAGACACAGGCTGCACTGGCAGTGATCACAGACTGCCTATGTCTGTGACCTCCAGGAGTTCTGGGCACAAGTAAAGCCCAAACCCAAACTGCGGTGCCAGCAGCTCATGGAGCACCTGCTCCAGTACCTCACTCGGCGCTGGGTACATGCAGAGGGCCCACATGCAAATCTTGGTGAGAGCAGTTCATGGGCCTTCTGAGTGAGGCTCTCCTGTCTGTGCTGGGTGCATGGAGGGTGGAGACTCAGACCGTAATAGTGGTGGGGTCATGGGTCATGGGCTCTACCAATCATACAGTTTCAAGACAAATGTACTTTTATTAGTTTTAAATGTACTTTTGATTTAAATGTACTTTTAAACATTAGACATTAGATTTAAATATACTTTTGCTTCCTCCCTCCTTAATACTAGGTATCACCAACCTTCATCTGTCTGTTTGATTGATAAAACACTGCATTTCAGTGTTTAATTTATGTTTTTTCTTTGGGTAATGTTGAGTATCTTTTTGTGACATTTGCAAGCCATTTTTTATTTCTCTTTCAGTGAGTTACTTAAGATAGTTCCTTTTGCTAAAAATATAGACTCAGACCATTGGATATGAGACCACTTTGATTTTTTTTTGTTTTCTTTTGTTTTACTTTTTGTAATAGGGTCTCACTGTATAGCCCAGGCTGGCCTCAAATTCCTGCCTTTTCCTCCCGAGTGCTGAGATTACAGGTGTGCACCACCATGCCTGACAAAGTTTTATGTACATGTATCTCTAGACCTGCATGTGCCTAGATAGTTTCTGTAAGTTCTCACTGGAACCTGATAACAGTGATCCATTGTGACAATTAAGATGTGGAAAAGTTGAAGAGGAAGGGAGAATTATTTTTATACTTCCTTGCTATTTTTAATGCATACATTTCTATTTATATTAGGCTATTTTTAAAAAAGTAATTTGCTGTTCACTTTGGAACAGTAGAACTATTGAGGCCGGTGCCTCTCATTCTGCTGTCCTTAGTGATCAGGAGGTCAGACTGATGTGGCCAAGGCTGCAGCAATAATGGGGAGTAGCAAGGCCAACAGGCAACTAGCATGTCCCATCCAAAGGCTTCCAGCATCAGTTTTTCCAGTACAGTGCTGACCTAAGGGACAGGTCTAAGAGTA